AATTTGGAGTCATTCCGTAAATTCCTTTTGCAGAGCTCCTGTGGCTTCGCAGCTTCAGCCAAGGCTGGAGGTGAACCACCAGGCCTGCTTCCAACTAAATTCACTTGCCCCCGAAGTAACACTGTAATATCGGAGTCAAACTGGGTGGATAATTTTCAGCTGGCTGCTATATGCCTGCGCGAGTTGCAGAGGAGTTGCAGATGACTTTGGGAGTGGATCAGGTGCTGCTGTGATCGCACCCCTTCTTTGGCCAGTGGAAAGGTTCATCACAGATCAGGTCTGTGGACCTGGACGTAGTTTCTCCTAACAGCCCAGGACTGAAAACTCAAGCCCATATCCAGCTTCATTTAAATGAATAAAGCTGCTCCTGCTGACTTCCAAGGGGGCTGGATGAAGGGTCCAGGGTAGAAGCCAGTCCATGTTCTTGCTGACTCATGTATCTGCATGCACACACCCCCAAGAAAGAAGAAAAAAATAGAGTCGTCACTTTTATTCACAGGCCACAATAAAATCCAGTTTGCTTACCCATAGCTCTGTTGGCGCTTGCACACTAAGCGGAGCTTAAAGCATTTTTGAACTCATAGAGTAATAAAAATAAGTAATGGAATATATTCATAATATAGCTAGAAAATATATGAGCAGCCTCAACCTGATGTAATTGAAAATGGATTTAGCAAACAGGCTCAGAACAGTGACCTTATTTTGTAGATGCTTTAAGCTATTTGTATCGCTGAGTGAATTTCCAAAAACTCAGCCATTAGATTTCCTATATTTTGGACAATTTATGATCTTAGTTTGATTTTTCCCCCAGCTGCATTAGCAGGTGGGAGCAGTCTGATTGTGCGAGTTAGGAGGCATAAAAGCTGCCTCTAGACTCCTCAGATTTTAACAATGGCAAATGGAGCAATAATAAAATCCCAGTTGGGTCTTCCTGATAGTCTCTGTTATATCCTTCTCTCTCCAGTTAGTTTTAACTTTGATAACTCTGTTTGGCCAGTAATTTGCTTTAGTCTTTGCCCATGATTGAATTATTTTGAAAAACTAGAGTAAAATAAAGATTACTCTCAGGAAAAAATGATGGTAGAATAGCTGTGGCCTGATTATCTCTTTTCTCAGCTGATCAGCGCCAATGTAGGTGATTTCTAGTTGGTGGTGTTCATCCTTGCTGCCAGCTTAGGTGTTGACTTCAAGTACCAGGTGTAAAGGGAAGGGGCGGGGGGTGGGGTGGGGTGGGTGAAAGTAAGTTGCCTGCCTTTAATGTGGTCATCCAGATGAAAAAAGTCACAAAGATTTCTTTAGATCTTAAAAGTGATGGAAGCCTTATTTTGTTTAGTGAGATTTGGTGTGGAATCTCAATTTTTCTATAATCCTTCCTATCAAAAGTAGCTACGTAGGGCTGAAGTGTCCCCAGACAAGCTCCTACAGGGCAGGGCATGGGTGAGGTCGAACCGTATGATTGACGCTGCCACTCTGGTACAACGCCTGCCAGTTCATTTGGAGAATTTGTATCTCTCAAGTCCAGGAGCTTTCAGCAAAAAAGCAGGTTTCTGGAAGTCTTATCCGTTCTTTGGCAAGTGCAGGCACTTCTGCTTTCAGAAAAAGCTTGCTTTCCTGTGACTTTCCTGATAAGGCTGCTCCTGGAGCACAGCATCTCCATCAGCTCTTATCACAGCACTCGCTGGCAGGTGGACCTGGTGTCCGTAATGCTGTGGTCAATCCTCCTTGCCCAGGATTTTCTGCAAGTTTAATTTTAACTGCCAAATCCCAGCCCTGTCTGCTTCCTCTTATCACCCGAGTTGCCCAAAGTCTTCCTTGCCCACTGGGCACCAGCAACCCGCGGCTTTCAGGCTCTTTCACAATTATAGATATGCAGCTCAAGGATTATCTTGTTACTCTGGAAGGCTTTTGCTTTGTGTGTTTGCGGACAAGCATTCCAGCTTGTATTAAATAACAGTCAGCTTTAAGCTGACTGGTACTTTGTGGTGGTGTCTGTTGGGGGATGAAAGTCTCGAGTGCTGTTTACGAGCAAAATTTGTACTTTTATTCAAATTTCTGCCAGGGGCCAACCAGTTCTGTGGGGGTCTCCAAACAACTCCTCCTTCCTCTAGATCCTTCATCACAGAATCATAGAACGTTTTAGGTTGGAAGGGACCTTAAAGGTCATCCAGTTCCAATCGCCCTGCCACGGGCAGGGACACCTTCCACTAGACCAGGTTGCTCAAAGCAGCATCCAACCTACGCTTCCACCTGGCCTTGATCCTTCACCCATCCTGTATTACTTTGGGCTGTTAAAAGCCAAAAAAATCGGTGCGTGTGCTGTTTTTCAGCGATCTGACCCATCATGGTAGTTGGTACCTGCGACTCTGGAGGGGCAAGATAGGAATCAGAACAGCATTTTGGCACAAGTTTTAAACACCGATGTTTCAGAGGCTGCAGCAAAAATGCAGCCTGGCACACATTACTTAAAAAAAAAAAAAAAAGATCAAGCAAGAGTAAAATGAAAGACAAGTTATAATATATAAGCTAGGTAAAGGAAAAAGATTTTTTTCCTTAAACTTAGAAACACCTTTGTGTCTTTCAGAGGTGAGCAAACTGTAAATTTGGATTAAAATACTCTCCTGAAAAAAAATCACTTCATTTTACAGTTTCTCTTTCCCAGTAAGTTGATTTATGTGACTTTCCTGGGAATTTAATTCTGCCTGCCCTCTGTGTGGAAGGACAATTTTGAGGTGAACAAGCACTGATTTAAGGTTTGCAGGGACTGTACCCCAGATGAAGAACTTTGTAGCCATCATGGGATAGAAATGCCGTTATCCTTTTGATCTTGTTGCTTGAAGACATATATTCATTGCCAGTCAGGATCAGAAGAAACCAAACCTTGATCTTGGCTAGGATACTGCATAAATAGGAGCAATGTGGGGGAAGCTTCTCATCCAGTTGTGCAACGTGCAGAGGTGGAGGTGGATGGTGTGGATGGGGCTCTTGCTCTGGGCACAGTCTTTTTATCTCCTTCAGCAAAAGAGTGTCACCCCTGGGTTAGCCTCCAGGTGACACTGGTGGGATGCTTCAAGCAAGAGGTACTTGTTGAAGTACAGATGCTTTAGTTTTCTGTAATCAGAAGCAGACAGCAAATCTGGGACCCATCCTCTGAGCTGTGCATTGGTATTCTTCACCCTGCCTGCTGCAGAGAAGTCACGTTTTGGGAAAAGAACGCAGAAAAACAATACAGGCAGCTGGGCATTCTCTGTAGCTATTGTGGTGTTCTGACAATGATACCCTTTTCACCCAGTGTTGCTGTAGATTTTGTTCTCCTGCTGTGTTCCTTTCGTAATTGCCAATTAAATAGGCATCTTCGACTCAATTTATCACTGGTCTAAATTTGTCTTTCAGGCAAGGGAAACTGGGTTAGCATTTGGCAATACAGGTATGTTTTAGGAGCAGCAGACTTATTTAGTTTGGGGAAGAAATATTGATGTGCGTGTGGTAAATTGGCTAATTTTGTCCTGTAGCATCATTTCCTGAAAGAAAAGCAACAGGGTTTATAATTGATTTGATTAAATAATAGATGATACATTCTCCTACTGCGAAGTAGGCAGCATTTCCAGTCTATGAGTCTTCGATGGATATGAATGGAGAGACTCTAAACAGTACGTGAGCAGGGGTAGTTAGGCACTGCTGCACACCAGAGCACAGTGTCAGCGACTTGAACAAGAAACTTGAGGTAAATTAAAGTTCCTTTAAAGTTTCTTTTTTCTCTCTCCCATTGCTTTATCACTGAATTTCTTCACAGGAGCTTTCTCCAGACCTTCTCACTTCCAGCTGTGGCTTTAAAGATGTGTTATAGCTGTCCACAGCACACAGAGAAAGGCTCCAGATTTGACAGTTAGGCATAAGTCTTTGTCACCTTATCAGCAAAAGTTGCAACGGACTCCTTTTTATATCCCCTTGTACATGGAATTGATAATTCTTTTTTTCTTTCTTGGTCATTTAAGTAGGCTGTAGTAAGCCTATTATTAAATTGACGCTGGGGCTAATATATAAAATAATATGCAAAGTGTATGGCCAGATTTTAAAATCTGGATGTTGTTTTTTGACCTCTGAGTTGAGACCAGCGACACTTTCCCCCAAGCATTGACTGTCTGCAGGGCCATTTCGTACAGCTGGACATGAGGCTGCTAAAGTGCCTGTGCACTTCTGGCCAGAGCCGCTGTCAAAATAAACATTCAAGGATGAGCTTGGAGCTTGCTGCTGAAATTCCTGCAAGTTCATCTCTAGGTGCCCAGGAGAACATTATTAAACTTCTGTGTTGGGACTCCTTTGCATGCTGGTAGGTTTGCCAAAAGGCACCCAGCAAGCTGTAGCCCGTATGGCCAGGCAGATGGATTTTGTGCGTCATCAGGTCCCTTTAGAAGTAAAGGCACAACATTAAGATGGCATGGTCCTTGTGTGTTTAAACAGTTGAAGCAAGAGGTGTCTTGTTATGCTTGGTAGCTGCTATTTTGCATTTCTGTCCAGAGCTGGGAGATGCATTGTGTTGGAGAGGATGCAGCTGGATGGAGAGGGCAAAAGATACTGCCAGGTCTGTCATTAATTCCAGCCCTGGGTCTTTGCCTATCTATTCTATGTCCCTTAATGAGCATCCTGCATCATTTGAACATACGGTAGACAAAACGCTCCGTAATTTCTTAAATGTAATTCAGTTTTAGGATGAAGCTTGCAGGCTTTTCCTCTTCAGGCTTGAGTCATGCTTTGGGTTAATAGCCCAATTAGTTGCTAATGGTCAGTGCACCCATAACCAGGAGCAATGAAGCTTCGCCTCCAGTGCTGCTAAGTCCCACTCTGTGGCCAGTGAGCTCTGCATTGGTTAAGGGCCAGTTCTGCAGAAGCACTTTGAGATAATTTTGGTCTGAATTTTTAAATCTGAACATAACTCTTGATTTTCAGTCGTTGTGCCCCTCACTATGCCCATTCCCTAACGGTGGCTGTGTTGCTGTTTGCAGATGATGGGAAGCTGTCCCTGGAGGAGTTCCAGGCTTTTTTTTCTGACGGGACGCTCAATGAAGAAGAACTTGAGAAGCTCTTTCATACCATTGACTCGGACAACACCAAGTAAGTTCCTTGTGCTGACATCCCTCTGTTTCACAGAGCCTTTGGATCACGGCATTAGTGTGCAGGGGCAGTGCTGCTCTGGAGAGCTAAGCACCACAGAGGCTGCTGGGGTGCGACTTGCTTTGCAAAACTTTGCAAAATCTCAGTTTCTGCTTGGTTCGTGTCTCAGCATGATGGCCACTATGGCTTCTTTTGTCTTGGTGGTTTTTTCAGGCTATTTTCTTTAGTGCAACCTGATCTTTATGGCATCTGAAATGATGCTTAGTTTTACCCATGAGGGCATTTATATGGCTCTTCAGCTTTTCCACTTTATCTAAAAGCTTCACTCTACTGTAAAAGGCAACTGTGTGAATCTCTGTAAGCGTAGTCCTATCCAGCTATTTTACACAATCAAACTGGAATGATTTGTGGTCTTGTCTCTTTGTGATGTCTCTCTCCCCTGCACTTGGACCATGCCTGCTGTGCCTCCCATCCAAAATATCCCCTGGAAAGTAGTAATCGCTCTAGCACTTAATAGAAATGAGCCCCCTTCTCTGTGAAGTTCAGCTGCGTGGAGGCCATCACAAGCCCTGCAGCCACTGGTATAGATGCTTTGCCTCAGCTCAGATCCCAGCAGCCTGATGTGGCTATACATCTGTCTGCACAAAGCCTGGGCAAGGCAGCAAGGGGACGGATCCACGAGCAGCACTGCATGGTCTGCATCGCAGCTGCAATAGCAGCAGGGAAAAACAATGGCAGAGGAGGGCTCTAGGTGTTCTTTGGGATGATGTTACATCAAAGTTGAAACTAAATATGGCACCTAACCGCTCTCACTGAGAGTCAAGCTTTTGCAGGCTGCGCCGAGCTATCAAATTAAGGTGACAAGCACGTTAGCAGCTGATGTTTCCTTCCCCTCCACCTGCCTTTGCTGTCTCTCCCTCAGCACCTCCTCTGACTGCCTTTGCCTCTGAAGGGGTCCAAGGTGTTTGTAGGTCCCCTGATAAGTGTCTGGCACTGACAGCGTTTGGGATCGGCACAAAGCTGTGGGGTCTGGGGGCCCCAGTGGGACGCCCCCACCAGCAGGTAACAATGGTGCTGGGCACTGGCACACAGGACACAGCCCACTGGTGGGTTTTCTCTTTCCAAGAGGAACCCGTCTTCAAACGCCTGAGTAGTTTAGGCTGTTTGGAAATACAAATGAAAAGCCAGCTTTGAGTCATATTCCAGTGTGACTCTTATTCCTCTAGAGAGAAAAACTCTGTCCAAAAAGCAGATGAAAGATAATCCAATTTCAAATGAGAAGTCTTGCAGTAAGTGCTTAAAAAATAATAGTCTGCTTAATTATAAAGCTATCTATCTGGCAGCACATAGATCGAGCCTTGCCCGTGTGAGTGGTGCATGCTTTGCCACCCATCCAAAACATCCCCTGGAAAGCAGTGATCGTTCTAGAGTGTGCTGGCACCAAAGCAGCAGATGTAAAACTCATCGACCTGATACAAGGGCTGCTGCTGAAGGCGTTTCTGAAAGCAAAGTAATTGTGAGGTTTCTCAAAATCCAGTCTTTCCCATGCGTCTAGTTCCCAAAACTTATTCCAAGATCAGAAATGCCAAAGACCAGCTTGGTGTTGTCACAACCCAGACTGGACAGACCAGGGAGTCGTGTTTAATTTGAAATTCCCTCGGGCTAAATTAAGGTGAAATGACACCAAACAATCAGTTAAAGATTTTATTTATGACAGGAGCAAACTGAACTGGGGAGGCGTGGTAGTAGGTGGCAGAGTTTCTCACAACTGGAATTGGCATAAGACTACTTCTGTAAACCGTGTAACCATATACATCAATTCAGGGAATAAGGAGATCCCTCCTGTTGAGTCACGAGGTTCAGAGCAGACCCCCTTGCTTTCTAGACTCCTCCTCAGAGAAGGTCCCAGGGGCAGCTGGATCCACTCTTAGTCTCAGACTTGGTCAACAGTTTATATCTTGAAACAGATGAGGTGTAGGGATTGTGGAAAAGGAAAGAGAGAAGACAGAGAGAGAAAAAGGAAGCGAGAAAGATCTCACCAGTCCTTGGTCCAGCGTTGGTTCAGTCAGCCAACAGTTCCAGTGGGCTTGCGCACCTGGGGTTTCAGTCTGTGTCTTTTTATCATCCTTGCCCCTCCTTCGGGTGGGCACCTGAACTCATCAAGTTAATGAGCAGTTTGTGAGCCTTTGGGCTTGGGGGTCGTTTGTGGAGTAACTTCTCCTTCCCTGCAGACATGGCCATTGTTTGATCTTTGTATCAGAACAGCTTATCAGAACAGGGAGCTGCGCACCCTCCAGCACGTCCTCCCCCTCCTGTTGCTGATGTCTGAGCTGATGGGCTTTTCACCTGGGCTCCTTGCTGTGCAGGGTTTGTCTTTAAGCAGAACTTGCCCCACCACAATGTTTGAGAGATTAACTCTTTCAGTCTCTCACAGGCGTATAGTATTCACTGAATAATTAATCAAAGAAACTTAAGTGATCTTGTTATTAAAATTAGCTGGGAATGATCCATCCCTTCTAATGGTTCCTCTTCAATAGATACTAGATGCTGCCTTGTCCTTTGTGGGTCTATTTATTGAGCTCCAGGTGATGCTCCTGGGTGGGCTCTCTGTAGAGCTGCCTCTGTTCTGAAATAATTTCTAGCATTGCCTGAGCTTATCAGCCTTCACCTGGCCTTTGAAAGAATGTAGGGAGCTGATGTGCATAAACCAGGGTGTATGGGACTTAGTGTGTTCGTTTCTTCTGGCCTTCTTCAAATGGGAAATTGAATTGCCATCCATTTTTGTCTGGGGATTGTAGAGAATCTGCAGCTTGCTCTGAGCCTTAGTAAGGGATGTCTTCTAAACTGGACACAGAGAAAATGTGTCATTTCTAATGTCATGCAACAGTGCTGCTGGCAAGCAGGGTCTTGCTGAGCAGCTCTTGAGCGTGGCAAGAGTTCCCACAATTCATTAGTATTTTTCTTTTGCCAAGCTGGCTTGATCCAGTCATCAATACCCGTTAGGGACCGATACTTGCACAGAGCATGTAGCATCTGCTGTTCTTGGCTGGAAGGAAAAGCAATGAGTTGGTCACCCTTCCAAGTTAAATCCTTGCATGAAATTGGCACTTGCTTATTGATTTGGAAAGCATAGACACCTACAGCAAATTTATGAAGTTGGGGGAAGAAAATAGTCCTCATTTTTTATCTGCAAGAGCTCTCAGTCTCCAGAAAACCTATTTCAGAGCTGGGCTTCCTTCTGCAAAAGTGCTTTTCACTATGAAACCAGTAGTTTGCTTGACTGTAGTCAAGTTGTGTGTGTGCTCTTCACCTTGCACTGTCTTTTGTTCTCCTCCACACAGTAAATTGGTGGGTCTGTGGGAGGTTGGGCAGGAAAGATGCTGCCTCAAGCCCCCGGCATGCCCAAGCACTAGGGTTGCAATTTTGAGCACTGCTGCCACCGAGCAAGAGGAGTGGAGCGGAGCTTTCATTCTTCCATTTTACAGGGGAACGTAGGAACAACATTATCTTTTCAAAAGGCTGTTTGAATGACAATTATTTGCTATTTGATAGAAGTTTGTTTATTTTAAAGGCTGTTTTTTGATACTCCATTTTATCCGTGTGTTTTTCTTATATCATGTTTGTTTAGTGTGCAAAACAAAGTTTGCTATTGAAATTGCATTGCAGCTAGAGTAGAAAATGAAGAAAATTATGTTCTTGCTGATTATTAGTAATTGCTGTTACCAGCCAAATTACAAAATGTTCATTCAATTTCCTGGAGTATTTTTAGGAGCAGGGAACTGCCTTACTGGAGTAGATAAAATGAATGTCTGTACTGGTTGCTTGACTTGCTTTGGTTGGGAAGGTGGTGGAACAGAGAAAAGTTGGGCAGAGGAGTGGGAAAATGAGGCTGGTTATGGATGCAGGCATAGCTGTGCTGCTGTGGGGAGTCAGTCATGATGTGCTGTGGCTGGAGGAATGCGTGCTTCTGTCTCGGGCATCACAGTCCCCCAGTGAAACACCTCATTGCCAGCAAGGCCAGTTAGGAGGTTGCTGAACTGAAATGAGATACCCCCAAAATAGGCCAGGGGTGTTAATGAGGCTCCTTCTTTCTTCTTGCCTGCCTGGGAAGTGTCTCTAGGAGGTTAATGATGTGGCGTGGTGGGCATGGCTCCAAACACCCGCCTCGGGGGTTTTATTGCTGGGTATCTCCATAAGAGAACCTGCCATCCATGGCAGGGTGCGACGACTGTGCTCTAAGTCCCAACATTGCTGGCTATTTCATCTGGCAGCAGGCACCTGCCAAATGAGTCATGTATTTCACTCATTTTTTGGCAAAATTATATTCATAAACCTACTGTTGCTTAAAAACGATGATTAAGTGGCATTTTTCTCTCCATTGCTCACACTGGCTGCCCTCCTTCGCTCCTCCCAACTGAAGCAGGAGGCAAAAGCAAGATGTTGCTAGGTGGTTTTTCACTATTGTGTTTAGCTGCTATTTCAGGAGGTTTCAGCACTGCTTTATGGGGAGCTGCCTGAAGATTAATGGGGAGGTAATGATATGTTACTATTAATATAAATGCTACTGGAATCGCACAAATTATATGTATGATATGTAGACATACATATTTAAATATACATATTTGGTTTAGTGGCAGAACAGGGCTTTAGAAAACATTAGATTGATGTTCACCGGGGAAATCCTGTTATATTTGCAGAGTTATCTATACCTTTTCTTACCTTTTCTAACTATATGTATCAATTTTAAAAGGAAAAAGTCACTGCAAATGGAAAGTCAAACAAGTTTTAGGGTCATGAATGACAAGATGAAGCCCTTTAACAATGTTACTGTGATACTGGACAAAACTTCCTTTGTCTGACCTACAGTTCCCATCTTCTTCCAGCTCCCTGGGCCAGCACTTACACCCCCTCTGCATCGCCTCGGAAGGAAGGAGCACCTCTCAGTCCTTGTGAAAGCAGGGGGAGGTCAGACGTGGCTATTGACCAAACAAATTTAGTCC